CACCACAGTACACATGTGCCCCTTTACCCCTTTTGCCCTCCCCTCCTGCCCCTTCCCCTCTGGTAACCACCAATCTGTTCTCTGTATCTATGTCTTTATTTGTTGTTGTTTTTTATCTTCCACATATGAGTGAAATCATATGCTATTTGTCTTTCTCCGTCTGACTTATTTCACTTAGCATAACATCCTCAAGGTCCATCCATGTTGTCGCAAATGGCAAGATTTCATCTTTTTTTTTATGGCTGAGTAGTATTCCATTGTGTACATATATACCACATCTTCTTTATCCATTCATTCGTTGATAGGCACTTAGGTTGTTTCCAAGTCTTGGCTATTGTGAATAATGCTGCAATGAACATAGGGGTGCATATAACTTTTCAAATTAGTGTTTTCATATTCTTTAGATAAATACCCAGAAGTGGAATAGCTGGATCATATAGTAGTTCTATTTTTAACTTTTGAGGAACTTCCACACTGTTTTACACAGTGGCTGCACCAATTCACATTCCCACCAGCAGCGTAGGAGGGTTCCCTCTCTCCCACACCCTCTCCAACACTTGTTATTTCTTGTCTTTTTAATAATAGCCATTCTTTTTTTTTTTATAATTTTTATTTATTTTTTTTCCCCCAAAGCCCCAGTAGATAGTTGTATGTCATAGTTGCACATTCTTCTAGTTGCTGTATGTGGGACGCGGCCTCAGCATGGCCAGAGAAGCAGTGCGTCGGTGCGCGCCCGGGATCCGAATGCGGGCCGCCAGCATCGGAGCACACGCACTTAACCGCTAAGCCACGGGGCCGGCCCAATAATACCCATTCTGACAGGTGTGAGGTGATAGCTTATTGTGGTTTCGATTTGCATTTCCCTAATTAGTGATGTTGAACATCTTTTCACGTGCCTGTTGGCCATCTGTATATCTTCTTTTATTTTTTCCCCTTTTCCTCATGTATTTTATAGTCCACTTTAGCCCTCTTCATTTTTCATCTCAACAGATATATGTACATATATGCAGAGAGATGAATTGGAAAAGAGCCTGCTGAGGTTCCCTCTAGGGAGATGAACAGTGCTTGAGTGGTTGGGGGTGGGGGATCTTCAGCCTCTTTGAACGTTTACATTGGGAATGCATTCACTGTTGCCTGTGTAATTAAACATAAATGTTTATAATTGTCAAGTGGAGGTGGGGTAGGGGAGGAAGGTTTCCAGGTTTGCCTCATACTATGACAGCCAGTTCAGATCATGCACTGATGCTGTGAGATATACAACGGGAACACACATTTCCAGGGCAGCAGCCAGCTGCCTCCCATCCATGGCAGTGCCAACAGTTTCTTTGCCAGCAAATCTAAATGCCTCAGATTCATTCCCTGGACAGCTTTGCCTTCCCGATTATCCTTTAGCACCCCCACCCCACCTCCCAAGAACACTGGGGAGGAAGTTTTAGGGGTGAGTACCACTGTACCTGGGTCAAATGCCACCTCCTATGAAGCCTTTCCTGACACGCCCACTGAACATGTTTGAATTAATTGTGGCTCTTTCTTTGTTCCCACACCTTGCTCATACCTCTAGGTAGCACTTAGGGTTTGAACTTTCCAGCCTTGTTACTGTTCATTAAACCTTACCTCCCTCATTAGATTGTATACTCCTTAAGGGTAGACACAGCATCTCCTATTCATGTCTGGAGACCCCACCCCAACCCCCACCTGTACCGGCCCAGTCCATCATAAATGCTTAGGAGATGTTATTGAAGAGGGTGCCCTGAACTGGCCCCCACCACCACACTAGGGATTTTGCACTTTTTATTCCTTCTGCTCTGTCCCTGGCCAGTTCTTCTTATTCGGATCTCAGCTCACGTCACCTTCTCCAAGATGCCTTCCTTGACTACCCTATCTAAAATAGATTACCTTCCATCCAAATCTTTGTCATAACTTGTTTTATTTTCTTCATAGCACTCACTGCAATCTGAAATTCTCTTATTTGACTCACTTTATTGTCTGCCTCCCTCACTGGAATGTGAATCACAGGAGGTCAGGGACTTTTGCTGAATCCCCAGTGCCTATAACAGTGCCTGGTATATAGGAGGTGCTCAATTAATATATGAATGAAATTTGTTTGATTATTGACTGATCCCCCAGTAGAATGCCAGCACCACAAAGGCCAGGACCTCATCTGGGTTACCACTACATCCTCAGCACCTAGCACAATTGTTACTGAACCAGGTCTGTTTTTGCCCGTTGCCCAGAAAGCCAATCACCAAGATCACAAGATTGCAGCAGAGAGAGGATTTAATCACAAGGCAGGCAAGAGAGGAAGCAGGAGAATGAGTCTCAAATCTGCCTCCCCTAAAATGGGGACTCAGGGATATTTATGGGGTAGGGGGCAAGGTGGTCTGAAGTGTGGGGACAGATGACTGGAGGTAAGGAGAAGTAATTGATGATCTACGCAAGCATAGTCAAGCTTCTTGCTTATTCATAGCATGCATGTTCACAAAAGTGCAGCATTACCACAATCCGAGGGTGGAGTTTTTAGCTCCTTGATGTCAAAAAGGTCGCTTGTTTAGCATTTGCACAGGCCTAGTTGATGGGTTGGTGGTCTCAACTGGCCTGAACTGGGCAAGGGGTCTTAGTTCCTGAAAACCCACTCTTAGTTACTTTGTTGATAAGATGGGGTCATCTGAACTGGTCCTGGAGGGCCCGCGGTTACACAGTGCCTGGTGCATAGGAGATGCTCAACAAGGCATTGTTGAGTGAGTGAATGTTCCACACACACCTTAACTCAACACACTCCAAACTGAACTTAGTCTCTTCTTCCCCACCAACCCTGCTTTTCCTTCTGTGTACCCTGGCTCTGTCAAAGGCACCATCATCCACTCTGACATCCAACCCAGAAATGAACTCACACTCCTTTCACTCATTCACTCACTATTTTCAATTAGTCCCCAAGCCCTGCCTATTCAACCTCCAAAAAATTTCACTTATCTGATCCTGATCCTTTTCCATCCCTGCTGCAAGTATCCTGATTCAGGCCTCATCCACGTCCGTGTCGTTGTGTCCCGTCCCCGTCCCCGTGTCGTCTGTGTCATCCCCCCCCCCCTCGCCCCGTGACTAATGCAACAGCCTCCTCCCTCCTGCCACCCTTTCCCCCCCATTTTTATTATGGAACTCTTCATGAATTTGCATGCATGTCATCCTTGTGCAGGGGCCATGCTAATCTCTGAGTCTTTTCAATTTTAAGATATGTGCTGCTGAAGCGAGCACCCTCCTGGCTGCTTGTGAAGCTAAGAAAGCTTACTGGATGTTGTATTCTGTTTACTTGCAAGCTTGTCTCCTGCACTGGCTAGCAAATTTCCCACTGCAGTCTCTCTTTTCATCACTGTATCCCCAGGTGCTAACCCACCATCACTTTGGAAATTGGTGTGCACACACACATCTTCTTCTTCAAAGCAGTGGGACCCTTTACAAACATGCAATAGTAAGAGGATTCCTAGACAGTATTCCAGAATGTCTGAGAAAACCAGCGCCATCTTGAAGGCTCTGTGTGGAGTGGAGTTCCATTCACTCCTCTTCTCTCGCCCCACCCTCAGGCTGTGGTCAGAAAATCATGGGATATGTGCATGGAAATCTAACTGTATCTGAACAGAACTGAACTAAACTGAAACAGTAAGGGTCAAAGAAGAGAGTTCAGAGGGAGCTGGGAAGTTGACATAAGCTTTACGGAGGAACTATGACCGAGAGACTGAGGGACAGAACGCGGGGGTAGTTGAGGGTGCAAGGTTCAACTTCCCGGCTCTGAAACTCAAGCCACTTGGCTTCCCTAAGCCCGTGTCCTCACTTGAGGATAACAGAGCTTTCCTTACACGGTTAAGAATAAACGACTAGAAGAGACTGTGTGAAAGAACCGAGCTCGCTTAAGGTACTCAATGAACGGTAGCCGCCGTGAGCACTCCGCCTCTACCCTGGCCCAAGCCCGCCCCTGCCGCCACCTATTAATTTTGCAGTTGGCAGTCACTCCTCCTCATAGGAGGAGAAGGCTGGGGAGGAGGAGTGTGTATGTGGTGGTGGCGGCGGCCGGGGGTAGGGTTACCTCCCTGCTTGCCCGCAGGAGGAGGAAGCCTGGGAAAGGTCTGGCCCCACTCAAAATGGAGCCAAGCGACTGCCTCGCCTAAGATGGCGGCTTCCCCGCCTCTCGCCTCAAGGCCCTCAGCATCGATTGGGTACCTAAAGGAGACGAGCGGGTCCAAGGGTAGCTGAGTCCCGCCTCCCCTTTCTCAAGGTGGCGCTCCGCCCCTCATGGCGTCACGCGGGAGCTAGCGGCTCTCCCTTCCCCGCCTTTGCCGCGGTTACCTCGTGTGCCCGGTCCTCATAAGATGGCGGTCGGGTCGCCTCTTCGCGGCGATGCCGCCACTCTCAATATGGTAGCTGTTTACCACATATTTCCCCTCCCCTCTCCGCCTCAACTTCCTCGTTGTTTTGAATAAACTTTATTGACTACTACGAATTGCCTACCACCACCACCAGGCTTCTCCCGGCGACTTTCCGGGCCATTTTTCTCCGACCTGGCTGCCGGTTCATTTCATTCCTTGTTGGTTTGCTCGCGGCGATCTCCTGCTGGCCTAGCGACAACGCCGCTTGCCGGTTCGCCGGGCGACCGCCGGACTAGGCCCGAGCTGCGGTCTCCAGCAGGCCCTAACGGCCAGGCCCTGAGCAGAGCTGTGGAGAAAGCTGCCCTGAAGCACCGCCGGGCGGCCAGGGCCGCGCGACCCAGCGGGTGGTTCGAGGGGAAGGCGAGCCAGGGTCGCAGCGTTCCCGTGACGATCCCAGAATTCGGCGCGCGCCGCCGGTGGGGCCGGAACTGCCGGCCCAGCCTCCGCTGAGCGAGGTGCCGAGCGGCTCCGGAGCTAGCCCGGCCGCCGGCGCATCGGTGGGGCTGAGCTTCGCGGGCGTGAGGAATCCCTGCAGCTTTGTGGTTGAGGAGGTCCCTGTAGGGGCCGGGACCCAACACGTTCTTGTCAGGTTTGGGGCATGAGGAGGTTCCTGTCAGTTTGGGAGGCGTGAAGAGATTCTCGTAAGTTTCGGGGGCTGCAAGGATATTCCTGTCAGTTTGGGGATCTATGATGAGATCCCTGTCAGTTTGGGGGGACAGGGGAATCCTCGTCAGTTTCAGGGGGCTGTGAGGAGATTCCTGCCAGTTTCCGAGCGGTGGAAAGAAAAAATCCTTGCTGAGTTGCAGGAGTGTGAGGAAATTCTAGTCAGTTTCAGGGGTTTTGAAAAGATCCTTTTTAGTTTCAGGGGTGCAACGAGAACGCTGTCGTCTTTGAAGTAGAAGACGATCTGATCAGTTTTGAAATTGAGATTTATTTGAGTTGTTGGGGTGATGAGACTCCCGACTGGTCGGGGATGGAATGATTTTGAGAGTGAGGGAGAAGATCGTTTCAACTCGCAGAACAACCCCAGAACTATGATTTGAGTTAGGCGCCTACTCTTGTCTGCCTTGTTCCTGAAGGCATCAAGGTAATTTTCGAGTAATCTGATATGTCTTTCAGGGATCCCTCATCTCTCTCAAGGTGCCCCTATTTTGGGGGTGAGATAAGGAGCTTTTTCTGAGGTACCCCCAGCCTCATTCTTTAGCGTATGGTTTGCGTCATAATAGAGAGCCCTGGGAAGCAAAGTTGCGAGCAAGGAGAGGGTACAGTGAGGGATTAAAGAAGCTTCCTAAAAAGGCGTCAGATATTTCCCTGAAACCAGAAAGAAGTTATCACTGACTTGGGGGGCCGAAGGAGGTAGGGAGAAAAAAAAGCCTCGACGGCAGAGCGCCATTCTTTATTTGTTAAAGAAATTCTGGAGGCCAGTGGACTTTCTCTGATTGCCCCCTACAGCCGCACCAGCTGTGTTGCATCTGAGCAGCAGTAACTGCCCATTTGTGAACTGAGGGTTGGTACCCTGAGGGACCTGATTCACTCTGTAAAAAGTGTTGTTTGTGCTCAGCCAGAAAGGACGTGTGCTGCCGCCTCCTGCTCGTCTTGACGCTAAGAATCTGCCCCGCCGCAGAACGCTCCAAGGCCTGGCGAAGATGGCTTCGGTGCCGGTGTATTGCCTCTGCCGGCTGCCTTACGATGTGACCCGCTTCATGATCGAGTGTGACATGTGCCAGGACTGGTTTCACGGCAGGTAAGGAGGGCAAGCCAGGCTAGACAGGGTGCAGTGGCCAGGTGCTCACTCGCTCGCTCCTTTCTCAGTTCTGTTTTAGGTTCCCACTCAGAAACTTTTTCCCCCTCTCTTGCAGAGAATTAACTCCAACCCACCTCCCAGACCCAGGTTCTTCCATCCTTCCTTGCAAACTAGGGCCTAGCTGACATTGTTTTCTGGTTTCTCCTCTTTTTCCATATGTATTTTTTCTTTGCACCCTTCTTCTGAATTTTTTGTTTAGAAAATATTTTCTTTTCAGCCACAAAGAAAGTATCATTTTTGTATTCTGGCAATTTTGTTTTGCCTCAGATACTGGCTTTGGAGGAGACAGTACTGCATTTTTGAGATATTTGAGTCCAACAAATAAGGATTTGAGTTGTGGCTTTGCAACTTACTATCAGAGTAACCTTGGACGAGTTACTTTGCCTCTCTGAGCCTCATTGTCTTCACCTATAAAATGTATCTAATACACCCTTCCTGATTATTTAAAGCATTTTGCACACACTCAGTAAATGGAGGCAGAAATGCAATAGTATTTTATTTCTACAGTATTTATCTGCAGAACCCTCCAACTAAATTGACTTAAGCAGAAGAGATATTGGGTAAAACAGCAGGAGTAAAACCACTAATGAATCCCGTTCAGTTAACCGTGTGTGCACATAAGCACCTGTCACCCAGGATTCCAGAGCGGTTAGTGTGTGGAATAAAACTGTAATATTATCCTATTATTGAGACTTAAATTCCAGCTATGGAAAGAAAACCATGAGAGGGATTTGTACCCAGAAGTACAGTAGTCCCCCCTTATCCGTGGGGCATATGTCCCACTGGATGCCTGAAACCACAGATAGTACTGAACCCTGTATGTACTGTGTTTCTTCCTATATGTATACATACCTATGATAAAGTTTAATTTATAAATTAGGTGTGGTAAGAGATTAACAACAGTAACTAATAATAAAATAGAACAATTATAACAATGTAGTGTAACAAAAGTTGCAGTAGATCTTAGCAACCTCAGCATATGATTTTTTTTGCTTTCGTTATTAAGTCAAGAACTTTCACCTTTTCAATTAAAGGAATCACTTTACAGCTTCTCTTTGGCACATCCGAATTGCTGGCATCATTACTCTTGTGCTTTGGGGCCATTATTAAGTAAAATAAGGGTTACTTGAACACAAGCACTCTGATACCTCGACAGTCAATCTAATAACTGAGATGGCTACTAAGAGACTAAAGGTTGGGTAGCATATACAACGTGGATACACTGGACAAAAGGATGATCCACACCCAGGTGGACAGAGTGGAATGGTGCGAGATTTCATCACGCTACTCAGAGCAGCACGCAATTTAAAATTTATGAATTGTTTATTTCTGGAATTTTCCATTTAATATTTGCAGACTGTGGTTGACAAAAGGTGAAGGGGGACTGCTGTACAACAAAGCAGTGTATGGCTCCCTCCTCCTGTTGCATGTTGTTAGATTGTAGAATTTTCATTTGTCACTAGTCCCTTCCAAAGGAGCTGTTCCTATTATCATACCCAAGCCAAACTGAAGATGCTGGTGCTGCTAAAATTCTGTTCTCAGCAGGGACTGTCCCATGCAGCACATCCAAATTTGTATTCTACTGATCTTTATTGAGTATTTACTGTGTGTCTGGTGCAGAGTTCTGTTTACTGCCTCATATTATTTCATTTATGAGGGGACAGACCTAGAGGATGGAGCCTTTTATTGTCCCCTGGAAATAAGTGGGGATTAAGATGTCTTTCAGGATTCCTGGTATCTTTGCTAGTGCTGATCAAGTCACTCTGCTTAAAATTCTTTGGGTGGTTCCCCTACGGAATAAAATTCCATCTCGTTTGTGTGACAGACAAGACCTTTTGTGATCTACTTGATCAGTCTCATTTCCCACACTCCTCCTCCCTTGTTCTTTATGTCCAGCAAGACTGAACCACTTATAGTTCTGGGAAATTTTTATACTCCTTTATGCCACTTTGTCTTTGCACATGCTATTCCCACTAATGTCCTCCCTTTTATGACTCACAGCCTACCTCGTCTGTAAAAGGCCTCCTTCCTCTGGGTTCCCATTGCACTTTGTGTATGTCCTTATTGAAAGTAATTATTTCATCATATCATAGTTATAAATACATCTGTGTCACTCATTAGTCAGAGCTACCTAAGGGCAGAGATATCTTTTCATTTCTCATATCCCCTAGTTCAATGCTAAATATGTAGCAGATACTGAATACATTTTTGAATGAAGGAATGAGTGAGTCTTCTTGAAAAAAGCTATTGCCTGTGGCCCTTGCTTTGGATTGTGTGGAAAGTGTGTAGGTTCAAACCTGGAAAGTGAACTCCTCCCCACGATATAGAGACCCTAACTCCACAGTCAGGGAACAGGAAACAGGAACGAATGCTTCCCGAGTGCTTATTATGTGCCAGGCCCTTCACAGGGACTTTGCATAAATTCTCTCAGTCCACACCCAACCTTGAAAGTTAGATATTTTTTTTAAATAATGTTTTAAATTTTTTTCCTGATTTACGTAGGTGAGACATGCTCGTTGTAGAAAATATACAAAAAGAATAAAGAAGGAAATAAAAAATCACCTGTAAGTCTAATATCAAGCACAGTGCACCGTTAAATTTTTTGTTGCATTAACTCCTGTCATTTGACTTAGAATATAAACATATATTTTTACAACACGGGATTGTGTTGTAAATACCATTTGGTAACCTGACTTTTATTCCTACTTAAGATTATAATATATTTTACCAGGTCATTAAATATTCGTTTAAACCTGATTTCTGATATCCCACCATATATATGTGTCATCAGTTGGTCATTTCCTCTGTGGTTGGGTACTTATGTTATTTCTACTTTTTTATATTATAGATAATATTGTGATGTGAAGGAAATTTGGGGGTTCTGGAAATGTTTTGCATTTTGATATGGATGCTGGTTAAAACAAAAAGAAAAACATTGTGGTGAACATCTTTGGACAGTAGAGATTTGACATTTACAAGGAACACCGCTAAGGCCTTTAAGAATTCCAAATTTACAAATATGGAAATAGGTTTATGGGCCAGGCCTCTCCTTAAGCACATTTCTGTGGTGAGTCCTGTGTTTCTGTGTACATCCTGACACAAATTAACTGCCTTTTTTTTTTTCTATGAAAAAGACCAAGTTTTTACCTCTTCTCATGCTTCTCTGTATGGGCTACCAGAGAACAAGGAAGCCAGCTGAGAATCAGGTCCTTGGTGGGTGGTTGCTCTTGCTTACTCAGTGCACTGCTCTCTTTCTCTCACACATACACACGCACATACACACACCAGGTTCACAGTGCTCCGTTTAAGTTTATACTTCAGCACAATTGAAAATTACTAAATATTGTGGACTTTTCATGGTTGCTCATAGTAGTTAAGCCCACAAATGTCTATAGGTGATATAAGTCTGTTCACATCTCTGATGACTTCCATAGGCTACGTTTCTTAAAGTCCAGTTAGGGATTAGTAATGCCAGGTTAATGCCTGGAAGGGTTATAGCAAGGAAGGCGACTATTCCATTTTGCTGGTGAGAATCTGGAATTCATGGAGGTTAAGTTATTTTCTAAGTTTGGATTTGAACTTAGAATTAACTGGCTTCAGAGCCCAGGTTCTCAAAAGTGGAAAAAAGATGGTATAGTTCCATTCCTCCTCCTGTAAGGGGCTTGGTTTTGCAAAAACACTTTGATTTGTAGAGCAGTGATTCTCAAACTTGAGCATGCGTCAGAATCACTTGGAAGACCTATTAAAAGGCAAGATAGGTAGGCCCCACCTGTGGGGTTTCTGATTCAGTAGGTGAATGGGGGCCACCTTCAGAACCACTGATTTAGAGCATTATTCTGTCTTAATTCCTTCCCTTTCTGTGGAGTGTAACAGCTTCTGATGTTGGGGGATGGGCAGGCTAACATATTATTACTGTACATTGTTGTTTTCAAAGTGTAGTTCGTTAACTGGGAATTTGTTAAAAATGCAAATTCTTTGGCTGAGACCCAGCAATCCATATTCTAACAAACCAGGTAGATTCTGATGCATCCTAACTTTTGAGAATCATTGCTGTACAGTGATGGAGAAAGTTAGTTGGTGAGCATTATTGATGTTTGAGCTTTGGCAAAACCTTACCTTTTTACAGTTTTCCTATCTATAAAGGAAGTATTGGTTGGCATATGCCCAAGGGGGTGGCTGTGCTGTGGAATCTAAACTCTAGGGGAAATGGCACTGGCTTCAGATCTGGGTTCCAATTCGGACTCTGTTACTTTTTAGCAAAGGATTTTATCTCAGTGAAGCCTCAATTTCCCTGAGAGTGGTTGTGATGATTTAAATAAAAGAGTAATGGTCCTTGTTTATTGAGCACTAGCTAATGTGCCAGTCACTATGCTAAACACTTTGCCTAATCTTTATTTAACTTTTTTGAGATTTTTAAAATTATGAATTCAATTTATTTTATAGTTATAGGACTATTCAAATTATCTACTTTATGTTGGGTATGTTGTGGTAGTTAGTGCTTTCCAAGGAATTGATCCATTTCATCTAAGTTGTCAAATTTAAGTGTGTAGAATTGTTCATAGTATTTCCTTAATATACTTTTGATATCTGCAGGCTAGCTCTGTGGTGATATCTCATTTCATTCTTGATATTGAAAATTTGTGTCTTCTCTCTTATTTTTCTTTGTCAGACTTGCTAGAGGTTTGTCAGTTTTATTGATCTTTTCAAACAAATTTTTTGTTTCATTGACTTTTTCTATTGTCTTTCTTATTTCAATTTCATTGATTTCTGCGCTTTATTATGTCCTTCCTTCTGCTTGCTTTGAGTTTATTCTGATCCTCTTGACCTAATTTCTTAAGGTGGGAGCTTAGGTTATTGATTTGAGACTTCTGTTTTCTAATGTAAGCACTTAGTGCTATCACTTTCTCTCTTAATACTGATGAAGCTGTGTCCCACAAATT